AAGCGAGTACTTTAAGTTTCTCAAAAAATTGCCAGCAAAGGTATTGGCAAAAGCAGGGTTAGTATAAAAGTGAAAAAAAGTCCAGTGAAAAAAGTTTGAGTGACAAAGTTCATTGATAAGGTTCACTGTACTAGATGGTTAAGGCACACAGAAAAAAATCGTAGTGAAATCTAAAATCAACATCTAAAACTAAATCAACCTAAAATTATCTTTATGGAAACTGGGGATGGGAAAAGGGTAATGATGGGAAAGGGTTAGGATAATCCTGTGTAGTTTCACAAGGTTTGGAGTGGACCCCCTTGCCAAACTTAGCCCCAGACTATGTCCATGGTTTAGGCCTAAAGGTTTTAGCAGCACTTAAATTTCACAACACCTAATCAAAAGTCTAATTTAAACATTTAACAATAAATTCTGTAAAATTTGCTATAAGCACTACAGTAACTCACTGTTAGGCCTAACTTATTTATTAATTTAACATACCTAAGAATCTAAGATAGCGACATTCACAGTGTATTTGCTGTAGGATATTTCCATTCACACACACAGTGCTGAAGGGGTATGCACAGAGTACATACCTGGGAAAAATTCTCCTCGAGTTCAGTAAAGTGATCACATCAAATGCCTTTGTATCTTCCTAAAGTGTTGAGCTTTGAGGAGTGGGGTTATCAGCCCAGGCTTCATTTTCAGCTTTTGGCAGTGGTCCTGCAGGTATAGTGATCTTGAGAGGTCACTAACTCTGAGAAGACTCCCACTCAGAGGGAGGTGCTGGTCACAGCCCTTGTGGTCCAGGAGAGCTCAAAGGGTCTCACTTAGAGCTGCTGTTTGTAGGGTCACAAGAGAAATTGGCTTTAGTCACCGTAATTTTCACAGTGGCCGCAACTTGGGTCAGTAACTTTCAAAGAAAGTTTGGTAACAAAAATGTTGTTTCACTTGAGGACTATTGCTCAGGCAGCAAAAATAAGTTCCTGTGGCTGTTTATTAAAAACTAGGAGCTTGTTAGAGAGCACTTGCTCCTGGGAGCAGACAGTGTTTCTGGTAAGGTCAAGAGGAGCTCAGCTCAGGTGCTGTTTATCAAGGCCAAAGCCTAGAAAGCATTTCTGAGATCACAAAAGTAGGAGGGAGGATGCGCTATCACATCGCTTAAGATGGCACTAAATAAGATCTGGTGCTGACCAACCTTTTTAAAGTTTCACAACCTTTGCATGTTTGGTCAGTGGTGGATGAGTCTGTAGATTTTTAATAACTAAGCAGAGAAATGGTTGATTGGAGTTTTGAAGTGGTACATTATAGCTGAGTATGTAAATACGTACAGCTTGTAGGACAAGAAAGCTTCAAAGTGGGGCAAAGGAGGCACTCTCCTGTTACTCAAGGCTTCAAAGGTCTTCAGCCACAGGCTAAGGATGGAAGAAGGCTCAGGAGCATCATGACTAGCAAGGATTCTCAGGTACTTAATGAAATCAATTGATCCATGTAACGAATGTGATCAATTTTCTGAAGGGAATGCAATTGCACTGGTGTACATCAACAACCACATTGACTCACAAGGCAACCAGCAAGAACACAGTGCTCCCCACCGCTCGTGGGGCTGTGCTGTGTGACAGCCAGCGTGCCTTCCTTTGGTCAGCAGGAGCTCGAGCAGGCAGGGCTTCAGGGCAAAGGCTGGGAGTAATTGAGGGCATTTATGAGGAGATTTTTGTGATTTGTTACCACAATCGTAAAAGCTTTGTGATCAGATCTCAGTGTTTGTAGGTAGCTCTGACCACTGCAGTCAGCAAATGAATAGCTGCACTACGTAAGTCTTTGATTTGAATATGAGCAAAAATAAATTAATTTGAAAGCTTTTAGAAAGAATAATCAGCTATGTCAAGCTATACAGACAGTCCTTCTGACATAATGGGCCACAATAGGAAACTCAAATAGTTCACCTCACTGCCAAAGCCTCCCCTTGTCCTCCTGACCCTCTGTGTACTCTGGTTATTGGCTTTCTGCAGGCTTCACCTGCAGCTGTGAAGGAAATGACTACAAATAGGAATTAAAACTTGTTTTAAACTGTCACTGCTTCTTAGTCTCCTGCAACTTGTTTTCCATCTGTTCCTCCCATAGCCTTCCTTCTGCTGCAGGTGTGGGAGAGGGTTCCTTTGCTTCTCCTCAGTGGGCTGTCTCCTTGCCAAGTGACACCTGCAGGCTGCCTCCTCCAGCCTCTGGCTGTGGTCAGTACTATTATGAGAGGAAGGCCTTACAGTCCCTAAGGGTGACTATAAAATAGTTCCCCCAAAGTTAACTTCCCCACACCTCCAGTCCAAGGTATGCCACAGACTTAATTTAAGCATCCCTCACTCATTTTATGGGAAATATAACGTAGCCATGATAGTCATGTTATTTATTGCTCATCCTTTCTCTGATCCTCCAGAAGTTCCAGGCCTGAATTTTATTTAGAGACAATTAGTTCCGTTTCTTAATTATAAACTATGGACTGGGAGGGAAAAAAATTTTTAGTGCTTTAAATCCTTTTTTTTGTTGTTGTCGGCTGTTCTTATTACACAGCTAAAAACAAATGAGAATGCCAAGTGTCTTCTGCTTTACACTTCTTCTTGTTCTGCATTTCACATGGGACTGGTTCTGCTCTCATCCTGAAACTTAAAGACTTGCTTTCTTTTTGGGAAGCTGTTTCTGCTCCTTCACATTAGCAATACTTGGACCCAGACCAGATTCTATTGTGGAAGCGTTCGTGGCTGCCTGAGCAAGGCCATTCATAACCTACCACTAAGCTCGAATGGTCCTTTTCTCTTCCTTCATCCCATTGCTTTCGTGTTTTTCTTGCCCTTCTGACAGTTGCTATATATCTTGCTATACATCTAGTCACCTGCAGAGTCAGTCACTTTGCAGGTTTGTCCTCTCTTCCAGGTCACTGCATGCTCACAGTAAACACTTTAAAAATTAAGTATAAGGAAGTGGGAGCAGACAGGGCATTTCTGCCTCCTTATGTATGTGCCTTAAATATTGCTGCTAAAAATAAGTGGAGAAAAATGTGAAAATTGTAGTTTTAAAACTGATAGTGTGCCCTGGGAGAGAGGTGTCATTCTTCTCCAGCTTTATTGGTCTTCTGACCTAATTCACCCACCTCCAGAAAAGCTGTCTGCACTAACTCCTTTTCTTTAATTAAGAAGAGTGCAGACAGCAGTCTCAATTCATGCTGAGACCATCCCACTCAGCTGTCAAACCCCATGGGAGTTGCCATGTCCCCTGCAGCCCCCAGCCCCTTTCCCAGGGGCTAAGCGCTGCCACTGAGGGATTCCCGATGCTCTGGTGCCTGCAGCCATGAGCAGTGCTTGATTTATGGAGCCTGCTGAGAGCACAGAGCCCTGGTGGCATGAAAACAGGCTTGGGTGCATCTTGACAGCCCAGGGTTTGCAGTGCCAAGGGATCTGCCTGCTGTTCTAGCTCAGCCACTGATCTGTTGTATGATGGGGGAAGTCCTGGACTTTTTGAAGACTTACAGATAGGGTGCCTTTCACCAGAGGAGCAGTCCCTGAGGTACAGCTAGAAGAACCATAGCTTGGTTTTACTTGGCTGTGGTGCAACTGGAATGTAATGAACTATAATAAAAATACCAAGTTGCTTGTCAAGCAAAAAACCCAGCTGTTTGGTATTAATGTTTTCAAGAAGTAATTTTGTGCCCAGTGTATACTGACAAAGTATTTTTGTTTGTGCTAACACTGTATAATAAAATTCTTGGAGAGTTAATAAATAGGGAAGGGTTTTTTGTGGTGGTGGTTGTTGTTGGGTGGTTGTTACTGAGCACAGCAGTGCATCTCCTGTGCTTTAGAGGTCGAGTGGAGCTGCAACTGATGCCATGCAATGGTGAATGATACAATTTCTCCAGTAGCTGGCAGAATTGAAACCAGCTGTTGGAACTTGTACCCACAGAGCTCCTGAGTTTGTAAGAGGAGACAAAAAAGAAACAGCAGTTCAATGCAACAATCATGAACAAGGCATCTGCCTTTTCCTCTAGACTCACTTTACACAAGCACTGTCAATTAGAATTTGAGATTTCTCAGCCAAGGTGCTTCCTGCGGAGGGGGGTGGGAGGAGCGCAGCTGATCAGGGGCATGGATGTAATTCACAGTAACAAATGAGCTGTGGCATTGCTTGGGCTGAAAGAAGAGTTTTGCCAGTGTTGATGGTGGATTATTTGTGTATTTAAATTCTGTTGCAAGTTAGACATGGAAACCTCTCAGGATATACAAGTTTCCACACTAGGTGTAGTAGTTATGTAGCAAATGTATTAACCACGGGTTTGCACCAAACATGCAAAAACAAATTAGAAATAGAGAAATACAAACACATTTTCTCATTAGGGGATATAAGTATGTGCTGACTGTAGTACAAATACAATTTTTATTCCATTTGTGTAACCTTTGGTATTTTAATGAAGTCCTGTTCTTGTGTACAGCGTATGGTTCACTGTCAGATAATTTAACACTAAGAAAATCTGTCTTGAATAAATTAGAATATATTTGCAAATTAATTGGTTAATTAGATTTTAGACATCTCTTGAGGACAGGAGAGAAACAGATGTGTGCAAAAGCCACACAGATAGTTTGGGGATGAGTGTTTCTTGTAGGGTTTTATCACTCAGTTTTGTGAAAAACAGCCTTTCACAAGTGCCAAAGATTAAAAAACTCTTGGCTTTAAATGCAGAACATTAAACTCTAATTTCCGTGGTGCTGCTGATTTTTTCTGGGGCACAGGCAGAGCCATTTGGATCTGTTTGCTGAATGAGTGCACTCAGAATATGCAAGGTACCTCTTGAGCTGCTTTTTTTCTAGGAGTATCCATGTATCCATGAAGCCGTCTGGAAATCCTCTGAACTAAACACTGGCAGATCAGCAGAGAGATGCCAGCTGGCATCGTGGTGAAGTCAGGCAACTCATAAGAAGAAGCAGGTCTAAGATGGAGCCCAGGATTTAGAAGAACAGTCATCGAAGAAGGAAAACTGACAGGGCAGGTTTTTTTCTCAGCTACATCGGTGTAAATCCAGAGCAACTCCACTGAGATTCACACCAGAGTAACTGAGAGCAGAATCTGGCCAACATCATCCACCTGACCTCAGGAGAGGGCTCGGATGGAGAATAATTCCCTTACCTTCCTCTTACAAGCCTTTTGCACTTGATTTTTAGAAAGGCACAAATTCAGTTTTACTCAGTTGAGGACAGACATAGTACAGTCATATGGTAACCACTGGTTTTTGGTTTTTTTTTACTGACTGGTAAAAGTAGAGATTCTGCTTAAAAAAATATACACTTCTGTATTCATTATTGACTTAGACCCCTTCAGAAACAAATTCTGAGTAAACCTTTGAAAACCGAGGAAATTCAAATTTTAAGGGCTTGGGTTGGTCCAGAAGCTGAGTAGGAGAGGATTTTCAGCTTAGAAGCAGTTCAGCAGCTCCCTGCAATCTGGGCTGATCCTAAGAGCAGCAGAAGTGCTGGTGCTACTCGCATCCACTTTTCAGCTCTGCTGAAGCAGTGCTGCAGTCAAAGCCCAAACCAGAGGACATTGATCAGTCCGTCTTGGAAGACAGCTGGTGATCACATTACTTTGTTTGTGCAGTTTTATCTCCAGGATCCCATTTTGGGTGTGTTCAGAACCATTTGGCAAAAACCTCATCGTTAAAAGCAATATTTGCAGTGTACAGTAAGACAAACAAGAAGCCATTTGTGTGCGTCATCGATCATTTTACAAACAGCCCCCGGGCTGCGCGCAGAACTGGCCCGGTGCTGCCTGTTTGGGGTCACAATACAGACGTCAGAGGCAGAAGTGCTTTTCCTGCTGACCTAACCTCTGTTAGGCACCAAGGCCCTGATGCTGCTGAGAAGAACCTTCAAGTTGTGTTCTTTCTTTGACCTTGGTGTGTTTTTCTAAGTAGCAGGCAGAGCAAAGTAAAAGCCTTGTTGCTGTCGATGTGGGAAAACTACAGCCAGATTTTCCAAACTCCAGAGGCTGGAGCTGCAGGGCTGATGTTGCAGGGGACGCCCACAGCTGCGCTGTGTCTCTGCACAGGAGGCACCAAAGGAGGTCCTGGGGCCGCTGGGCACAGACACCATGTGTCTTTGGCCTGGGACTGCTGTCAGCAGCCACATGCCTTCTGGAAGAGAGCACAGCTTTTAACAGGGTTGTTGTAGACTGGGATGTGCAAAAACCTGGCCATGGTGACCTCAGTGCACTAATTCATGAGAGCATCTGGGCTGGCCCTGAGGGCAGCATGACTGCAGTGCGTGGGTAAGAACCTCATGTGGCTGGATCGTGCCAGAAGGCTGATGTCCTGTCCTTTGGTGACCCAGCCACTGCCAGGTCCCAGGCAGCCCATGGGGATGTCTCTGCTGGGCATTTGGCCTTTCAGTCCTTGTTAACCCCAGAGCCCAGCTCTCCTTTGGCAGGCAGGGAGCTCCTGTTCCTATGCAGCATCTGGCTGTCTCCTGAGCCTTCTCCCTTCTGGCCTTGGCACTTCTTTCCTCTTCTGTGCAGCAGGGCTACCAAGACAGAATGAGATGGGTACCTGCTTTTAGTGGGATCTGGTTTGTATCACTGGGAAAGCAGCACTACACTACCATCCATGCCTGGGGTGCTGTGGAACAGCAGCCAGAGCTCCCCTTCCCTCCGCATGTAGCACATGCTACACGTTATGTTCCTGCAAATAAGACTGTGGATGCATTAAGACCCGAGGCTAAGAGACTGCTGATCTGCAGCTGTGATGAGTGTAAGCAGCTACAGAAGATGCCCATGAACATTTCCCTGCAGCATTCATCTGAATGCAGTGTGCTGGTTCCTTGAGCAAAATTAATGTGCACATTTGTCAGGAGTGTGGAGGTTGAGGAGAGACCCAGAAATTACCAGCTATGATAGAATTCACAGAGTAATGGTTTAATATCATCTGCCATAACTCCTCTATGGGACTTTTGTCAGATCTCTGATTCAAGTAGTCTTTTCTGAGGCTTTTGACATTTGTGGCAGCACTGGGACAGACAGTAAGGTCGTGTGTCACTTTAAAGGCTTCATTTTTTCCAGATTCCTCACAAAACTGGAGCTGAAAGCTCTCTCATGAATTTCTTGGGGAATTTGCTGAGGCAGCAATTATGTTATCCTTCAAAACTCCATGGTAAAGGTCATCACAGAACCATGCCAAACCTGCCAGGCTGAAGGAGAGGGGGCTGAGAGGCTGTTTTCTGTGCTGGCTGTGAGCTAGGAGACACGTATGAAACCACAGCCAGCTCAAGATGCCATGGTGTGGGCAAAATACAAACCACACATCTCCTTGCATGGTCAGGTTTCTGCCAGAGATGTATTTATTCAGCAGAGCAAGAAAGCCCAAGCAAAGGAAGGTATAAAACAAAAAAAACTGTACTTGAGAGGTGTGACTGCATTGCTCAGACCTTCCTCCCCTCTGAACACAAGCTAACGTGGAGCATGATAAAACAAGCATGGAGCTGCCTTCAAATTTATTTATCATTCTTTCTCCATTTCTGCAAACCTCCCACAGCAGAATATTAATTTGTGATGAGAAGCTAGTTCTAAACAGGACATCTCAGTGCAAAAGATAATAAACACTGGTGTTCCCAACTAAATTACAAAGATCTTGGTAGTTTTTTTGTAAGAACTGGCTGCATTACTAGACAGAGATCATAAACCTTTGAAAGGCAGAGGAAGGAGAAAAGAAAATATTCCGCATAGGGAAAATATGATTGTGTTAATGACTTTCCTAATCTCTAGACATCCAGTTTTATCCATTCATGCTTCCAGCATCTGCAGATGAACTCGGGAGAGCTTCAGTAATCCATTAAAACAAGATAATTTTAAAATGTCCATCTAGGCATAATAATTTATTGGTTTGGGGTTTTTCCCTCTTCTACTCTGCTGATTTATGAATGCCTCTCTTAAGTTTGCCAAAATGATAATCAACCTTGATACTTTATTTGGGGTGATCATCCTTGTGGAAAAGTCTTGGGGATAATTTTATAGCAATGAAACCAGTTGAGATCTATTGAAATGCAATATTGATCTCAGTTAAAAAAAAATACATTTGTAACTGTCCATCCATCAGATGAATAATTCTTGTGTAAGTTGAATGTGTTGGTCTGAAGTAGAAAAATCCTGAAGGTTATTTGTTGTGAGGTGTAGGCTGCTGTTATTTAGTCTTACAGAATTTGTTGTACTTCCAGAAAGCTATCTAAGTAGTGCCTGGGCTGCTTATCAGAAGATACCCGCAGGCATTTCAGTACTAATGTAATTGGATGAAGTTTACATGATGGAATATTGGAGGTAGAGGTTTTGTGCTCAGGGCTGTGGAAAAGCACCAGATACTAGTAGCTTTTACAGAAAATGGAAGGCCAGATGGAGCAGGAGATTACTGTGTCTGATCTCCTGCACAGCCCATTGTGTGTCACCTGCTTTCCCCCCGTGCTGCGTCCCCTAAAGCAGGATGAGTTACAGCACGTCCTCCAGCTGAGCCCTTCCTTCCCACTTCAAGAGATCACTTAACAGAGGAGCCACCATCTCTCCTGGCAGTTTGGTTCAGTGCTTAAAATACCTTCAGTGCTGGGCATTACTACAGATTTCTATTGATGTTTGTTTCACTTTTAACTTCCACCTCTTGATTCTTGTTATGCCCCTTTTTAGCAGGTTGAAGAACTCTTGCTTCCTTTTATTTTTTTCCCTGTAGAGCCACTTATATGCTGTAATCAAGCCACTTCTTCCTCTTCTCACTGATAAGCTGAACAAGCTGAGGTCTTTGAGTCTCTCTCAGAAGGGTATTTACTACAGTCCTTTAAATAACTTCTCTGTCCCTTTTCTATGTGTTCAATTATTCAACATCTTTATAAAATGTGGAGATGTTAGCACAGCGTATTTTCTGGTGTCTGCCTCACTGACTCCAGGTACAAAGGGACAATTTCTTCTCTGTGTGTACATGGTTGATGTATCTAAGGATTCATTTGCTCTTGTGTAACAGCCTTGAGCTACCTGTCCACAGTGACCCTCTAATTGTGTACAGAATTGTTCCATTCTAAGGTAAAAAGTCTAGTTTCAGATGCCAAGCATTATATTTTGGCTTACTGCATTTTATAGTCTCTCAACAGCATGTAAAAGATGTCTGTGCTACATGAGGATGCTCCAGAACCCTGCTCCAGGTCTGCACCTTTTTAGCCTCTAATGTTGACAAAAATTGCTGACACATCTAACACATGATTTGAGGCACTGCTGTAGGAAAATGCTTGTACCACAGCCCATCTGGAGTCTGAAAAGGGCAGCTGGGGGAGAACAGCTGCTCAGAAGTTTGTAGGGAGAGCTCCAGGTCTTGTTTATATCCCCTGGGGACACAACACATAAAACCTAGACTCAGCTGGGAACTGTGCAGCCTGTTCTCCCACTAGCACGGGGGTCTGCAATTAGTTTTTGAGTGGTAGGAAGTTGAAGTTACCTTGATAGAGAAGCCTCTTTTTCAGATACCTTTTTACCTGCTCTGTGCTTATCACTGGAATTTCAAATATAGTATTAAACATTTTAAGCTAATACCAGCATTAACAACACGCCTGTATAAAAAGCAGTTGCATGTTGCACTGTATCATTGCATGACCTCTCTTACAATCAATACTTTTCCCATCCATCTGGGAATGGATGTTAGCATTTGGCTGAAATGCTGTTAGCATTTGGCTGATGAGCTGTTGTTCATCTGACTAATCTCATCACTGCTGGCATCTTCTCCCAAACCCTTTTGTCTGGACAGTCATGTTTTCCTTGGCAATCTGCAGAGCACACCAGATCATAGGTCCCTCTGAGCACTTGCATGCTGATGCCTTTCCCTTTCCATTTGTCCTTGCACCTTCATGGCTGGAGGATATTAAAGGCAGGGCAGGGAGCTGGGAGAGTGCAAAGAGCTTTTTTTGGTAGGAATAGTCATTCTGGCCCTGCACACTTCCCTGTGGGAATGGAGGAGGTGTCTGGCTGTATTCCAGGGATGGGGCTGGTAGAGCTGCTCCCTGGTGTAAGTGTGGTGTACATGTGTTTTAGCTACTGGCCCCAGAGCAGAGTTGCAAAT